TTTTCCACACGAAGTAGGGCGTGTTTGCATACAGCAAAGAGCAATTGCACTGCCATGAGCACCGATCGCTCTCCTACAAGATTTTCTGTCGGTCTCTTGTACACTGCCCCCCTCCACTCCCCCCACCCTCAGGTACCCCAACAGGGTGCTGTTGATTGACCTGTTCAAGACGGTGGAGAAGCTCTGGCGGGAGAGCAACCATGGAAAGGAGGATTGCTCAACGTTCTTCATGGAAAGGGGGGCATGGTTGGTCTCGTCTGGGGTGGAGGGGGGATACAGCCCGGACGGAGTCCAGACGTGCCATATGTTCATGCTGCGGGCGGAGAGCCCCACAGACTTGGCCGTGCTCCTGTTGCACCACGTGGTGAGTGCCCCGTTGTAGAGAAACACATTTTTCGTATTCATCACAAGTGCTCGTACTTGGCAGTACAGTGTACCCCCGACTCTTGAAAACAATGAAAGTCGAATACATTCAACAGATGATGAGCAGGCTTTGAATAACGAAGGTGTCCACATTTTGCATTGGTATAGATCAAATGTGTCATGCCAAAGCAGTGCGGTCTTTGTTGCAATTCGACAAATGCCGATTAGGACATCTAGCGGATTGAAGCAACTTCTAGGCGAAGGGGACAACATGGTTACTTGCGAGGTGTCTGCATGCTGCGATGTTCACGCATTCCCTACCTTCAAACTATCGTAGGGCACCACCAAGCCAACACGAAAATACTCACAGCTGACTGTTGGTTTGTCCACCAGCAATTGGGCGGGACAAGCCCAAACCGAAATCCGGTTGTATAAAGTAAAGGTCTGTTTCACGCCTTGTGTTTCTTGTTGTCCTTGCGCATAAAATAAACGAAGTACTTGTCGTTAGCCATGTTTTTCGAATAACGTACAACCGAGTAACATTGAAACGGTTTAACTCTAACTAAACCCTGCTTTCTGGGGTGAGGTTGGGTACTAGACTATCGCCAGTGTGTCCCGGGGTACTTTGTTGTTTTTTGTCTTCACCTTTAAAACCATCCCGGTCTCCGCGCAGTACCGTCTAATATCCGGACTAGTACAACGACGCGGACACCTTCCGTGGTCACAAGCCAACTATACCCCCAAAGGGTACAGTACACCTTTCTAGAACGAAACGAAAGTATAAAATGGGCTNCGTGGTCACAAGCCAACTATACCCCCAAAGGGTACAGTACACCTTTCTAGGACGAAACGAAAGTGTGAAATGGGCTAGGAAAAAAATCTCCAACTGCGGAAACAGCGTAGCACAAAAATAACATGTGTCCAACAATACGCCATTTCGAAACATCCTACCACCTGTGCCTACAACAGGTGCGTGCATCAATAGGTGCGTGCATCAATATCCCAAACACGCACCCCCTTGTTTTTTCTCACAGAGCGGTTGCACCTTTCAGCTCGCACCTGTTTTTTCATCCAATCTTTCGTGTCAAGCTATGCCACGTGCCAAAAGCTCACGTTTTCCACATAAGCGACCGCTGCCCTCGAAATGCCCCTGTGATCTATGTGGTCACGAGACCGTGTACATGCACGTGGAGCAGGGTCTTTGTGAGAATTTTGGTACACATTAAAGACGTAGAACGTTTCCAGGTTATGATGATCCTCTGTGTTGTAATCACTACTCCAATCGATTGAACTGTTTGCCCCACTCGCGCTTGGAGGCCCGGAGTGCGCATGTGTTGTGCCCAAGCCAGAGAGAAAACATAAAATAGAACATCACCAACGCGCTACTTCTAACACATCTCACAGCATGCACGAAGTAAACATTACCATCAATCAAGCAGGCCGTAGGATAGGATGTAGACACAACCTCTTATCACCTCCAACTCCACTGCTCGCACCGGTATTTATTGCGGGAACATTGGTCTTGCGCACGGCCACACCCTGTGTCGCTTTTTTAATCTGAAATGTAGTGTTGTTAGAAATCCAAAGAAATCAAGTCGGAATCAAAGTCTGCATGCGGGACACTCATGTTCTACTGTAGAATTCTCAAAGGGAGGCATGGAATTGTGTCACCTCTTCGGAAAAGTTGGCAATTTTTCCTTGTGTTGTCTCGCATATTCTCCCGTTGGACACTTCTAGGCAAATACGCAAACGACGTCCACGACCTCGGGGTTGTCTACACAACATGTGTGTGACCTTTATCTCGAAAGGCTTCCAAATGCAATGAATGGGCACGGGGGGAGAACAAGTTGAAGACCACAACCGAGATGGCAGTCCGTGTTAGGTCTATTGCTGGCGTTTCCCTCTCAGGTTCGTTCGTGAAGTGTCTGTTAGAATACGTCGAGCGAAAACACGACAGTAGATCAACTTCCCACGCTCTACCTTCACCCATGCTTTCGTGTCCCCCGTGTCCCCCATGGTCAATGCAGCACATGCCTATCCTCGTCATCACGCACATCATTTGTCGTGTAGGACCGATCGTCCACGGCCTCTGCCAGACGGCGGCGCCGAACAAAGGAGTTCTTCCCCGGGTTGGCGAGCCTGACGAGCATGGCATGCGGACGGTGGACATCCCAGCACTAGCGCCTATGGGAAATTACTTTCTTGGCGCCGATAAGGTTTCGAAGCCTGTACCGCAGGAGAAGTGCACTCGAAGCAATGTGTACAATCTCCTGCGCGATGCGAAACCTTCTCCTGCGGTTCAACGGTTGGACTTCGGTCAGCTTCTCAGCGTTTCATCATGGCAGGAAGTAGAAGAAGGGGACACCGCCGTGGCCTTCGTGCTGCTTGCTCGGGCCCGTTTGCGGAACCTGCGCCGACAAAGCCACCACTCCATGGACCTCTTTGAGGTAGTGGCTGTTCTGAACGTGCGCCTCACCAAGCTCGTGGCTGTCATCAGAGAAGGACAAGACAAGGAGCTCCCGCCAACAGCACTTGTCGAGGAAGAGCAAGTAGTCATGGGCTCGGTGCTGCAGACCTTATCGGCGCAGAGCGTGTTCTCCACACGCGTTCTCGCGGTGGCGACTGGGTCAACCACCGGCAAGGCTCCGGAATTCCTGCCTTCTCTCGTCATCTTCGCGAACCTGAGGTTGGGCAGAATGACCTTCGACCTGCGGCGCTCGACGACCTGGTTTTGACCTACGCCCGGGTAAGTACGTCTCCTTTGCGTAGCTTACGTAGTGGGCTGTTGTGCTTTTATTTTTCCAGCCTTCTCAGTATTCGTGCTTGTCCGTTGCTCCGTTGCTCAACTGCATTTGTTTCGCGTGCTTATGTCGCTTTGTGTACGGCGTTCCTCATTGGTCATCGTTCTCCCTCCTTTGTTTTGTTCTTCCACCTTACGTTTTCCCTCCTTTGTTTTGTTCTTCCACCTTACGTTTATTCCGTCTTCCTTCTCTGCGTAGCCGGTTGATTTGATTTATGCTAACGGCGAAGCCTACCTTGTTTCGTGTTATGTTATTGTTCAATCCGAAGTGCAAATGGGTAGATCACTGCTGACATATTGGCATATTACTCACGTGTTGCTGTGATTTGAAGGGGAACAAGAACACCTTTCTCACATGCTGGTAACGACATCCGCATGCTCGGTGTCCACCGCTAAAACTACCACACCTCTTCCATACAACGCATGCACTTCGTTGCATATTAAATGGCAGCAGTGCTCGAATTTTTTGAGTTGATGGCAGTCAACAAGACTACCCAACATTGTTGTATTATATCTGATAGTAAGTTTCCGTCTAAGTGCATTGAAGCATGCTCATTGCGGTAACCTAAATAACTCGAGTACTTCGACCACACGGTTTGTTTTCCGTCCCCTTAATCGGGACCCCTGACATCTTAATCAGGCCAAGGAGGAGTTCATCGCGAGTGGACTTCAACCCGCCAATGAGCGCGCAAGGAAGCGGGCAGGTACGAGCAAGTGGGCACTTGCTTGCGGTAGGTGTTACGGCTAGTCATGTTGTTGGTCCAATCACCTAAGGACCTAACTTCTACTGTGTACGTTTTGCCATATTCTGTCAAGGTTGGTACCGGTGTTGTACATGTACATGTCGTTCGTTACCTCCAGCCCCCCAAAAGTGATTAGTCCTTTGTCAAAACGTTCTCATGAGCCAACACATGGCATGCCGTCTTTTTGTATGTGATCTCTGTTCGTCCTGACAGAACTGGCTGTGCGCTCAGGAGCATGCTTCGGGTCCGCGGTGCAGCGTACGAAAGACCTTCAGATTCAGGTGGCTCACCATCAACCGGGGAAAAGCGCTGACATCAA